TCTATTCCTAGGAATTTATGCCACCATTCCTGAAATTTGTTTCTCGAAGCAGTTTTAGGAAACAGTTAAGCCTAAAATACACAGCATGACCCTGAGACGGGAAAATATGACCAGAGTAGAATGAAACAATTGCAATGGATCCACCTTTTTGCTACAAGAATACCATTTTGCCAACAGCAGAATCAGCTACACATGCAGCTCATCCCGATGAGAAGAGTATCCCAGTAACATCTATGTGAGTAGGGAAGAAGAAAATACCTTTTCTCATTCCACCAAAAGGATCTTTATTCGGCTCGTATGGCATCCTTCCCATCATATCTGGCATGTTTATTCCCTGCTGGTATGGTGCATTTGGCGTCATGGAGTTTCGCTTCGGGAATGCTGAATCACTTACATCAGAAAAGGGATCATGCACACTAACTGCGCTGTTTCTAGCAGATGAGAAAAAAGAGGCATTAACATCATCGTGTGTTCATAAGAACTGTGAAAACAGACCAGTCTACAAAACACTGCTGCGTTTGTCAGTGATCACCACAGGATACATCTGAGGAAGAAGCAAACAACTTTCACCCTCATGAAAAAATCTATCCTTTTTTTCCCCAAGCTTATCTGGGTACTTACCGGAATGATCAGGGTTTTTCACCTAACTGTGCATGTTCCTATAAGCCATGTAAAAGTCTAAACTTTTCTGAAATTTCCAAAGCTGTGTTCCTCACAATAACATAAGCTTCATACGCTGTGTCAAATTAGTATTACTTTTTATCTGTTTCATATACTTCTCCTAAAGACTAAACAGCTACTATATTTACCTTCCTAATATCATTTCTGAAAGGGATGTCTTGGTCTGTCCAGCTGAATTCTCTGCCATCTCACTGCTACTGTAATACTTTTTTGATAATACTCTGAATCTGTGCACCCAGGAAGGAAAGCTGTAGTTCTAAGGTGCTGCTACTGGGTTCAACTTCCCACCCCAATACACATATTCACATGCTCTAGCTTGTTTGATGCAGCTCCTAATCCTTCCTCTCTTTCCTTCTCTTCCCTCAAGAAAGAGATGATTTTTTGCCACTTCTAAGGCTGGGTTGGCTCACCACAGAATCAGATGAGTGCCTGTATGGTTGAGAAAAACTAACTTCAACTGCTATAGAATAACAGCATAAGAGAAAATGAAGCAAAGCCTATTTCATACCTGCCACCCTGCATAGGTGTCATCTGTCCATGAGGTGTTGATGCTGGTGTTGGAGGCTTCAAATCGCCTGGCACTTCTGTCATGGAATTACTGCCAGTAGACTGCGGAGTCTGTGGGCCTTGCAAGGAACCAGAATTAGCTGGAAGATTAAAGAAAAAGGAAATATTAGAAGGTAGTAGCCAAATTACTGCAGAAATAATAATAATCAGTGAGAGAAACTGGTTGTTTCCCTGATCGGCCTGCTTATAGCATGCATCTCTACTTTGTAACTTCCATAAAATCCTCTGAGACCAGGATATGCTGTGAGGTAATAGCCATCATCTTTCCTTGAATCACAAGTTTAAATCGCTGCCTGAAGCAACACGAATAGAAATCATCTAGATGAAGGATCATTTAAATCAGAGATCAGAGGTACAAAGTTAATTGTCTATAGATTACACCAGAGTAGATGAAAGTTGTTCTTGGGCACAGCTTCTTTATATATATGATCACTACCACAATACAGATATTTATAAAGCAAATTTAAACCAGAAGCCTTTTCTACAAATTTAAACCACTGTATTAATATAAGAACATAATCTATTTTACTACTAAAAGGCAGGCATTTCTGAGATGAAACATGGCTAATGGTTAGGGGCACACTGCAACCCTATGCCATCTTTGAGACAATGTGGCACAAGATTGAATTCAAGAAATTTAGAAGGCCATCTGGGGTAAGAAGAAAGCATAACATTGTAAAAATAGCGATGGACAACTTAATAAAATGCAGCTAGGATCACTGTAGAGCACGTGTAACAAGATCAGGTCAATTCTGCAAAAATTTTTATGCTGAGATCTCAGACAGCAGTGGAGTACCTGCACTACTGGCCTCCTTAACCATGGTGAACAGAATCACAGAACATCCCAAGCTGGAAATAGCTACATTTTTGATGTGACGATAAATGGAGAGAAGCATGTAATGTTCTACTCGAAACTGAGCAGTAATAAGAACATTAAATGAATTTATCATATAAGCTAATGATAAATTACATTCACAATAGTCTTTTAAAGTAGACAGTGCAGTTTCTATTTTCATACAAATACTGAGAAAGTCCTCCTCCAACATATGATGTGGCATTTTTCTGAGTTAGAAGGTGATAGATGGGCATCAGTAACAGTACCTAAGCTTTGCATCACACTGCCCTTGTCTACTTTGGTGTCTGAAGCAGGAATTCTTCCCGAAAACTTGTAGGATCAAGTCTTTGGACTTGATTTTCCAACAGAAAAAATCACAAACCTAATAAACTTAGAAAGACACGGCATTGGCTTGAGAGATCTTTTTTCTTATACAAACCTTCATGTGAGCATTTTTAAGTGCCTGACTATTGTCATCCAACAACTAGTTAACAAAACTTTATAAATTACTGTTAGAGGAAAAACTGGAAGCAGCAGCATGGGCTGTTCTTCTCTATGTGAAAGAGAGAGTAGTTTATAATTGACTCAGAATCCTAGAACACACATCACCCTGACAGGCAGAGCTTGTTTTTAACCGAAGAACACCCTTTTTATGTGTTTCATTTGTATCTGTAACACATGTTCCACTATCTGGAAATCAGTCTCAGTAGCGAGAGCATACGTAAAATGCACATTTTGTAGACCATGTTGCTCCTGTCCTCACCTTTCTAAGGTGTGTTTGGATTATATTCACACTGTAATGAGGTTCAAAAAAAGGTCAAGAAAAGCTCTCTGATAGCATTAATACAGTTACAACAACATATGCAACAGTTAATGTTACAGTTGACTGAGGGCTTTAGTGCCATAATAAAACATACATGTAAAATAATAAAGAAAGTCATCACATTCACATAAAATGAGCCTTTTGTATATAAAGCCCCTGGGTGAGACAGGATCATTTTCCTGCCTTTTTGTATCCTAAGGTCTACTGCACTTTAAACACAATGCTAGATTACTTCTAAAAAGCTTGAAAGCATTTCTGAGTTGTCACATGCCATCATCTTGTTATATCAGAACCATGTAAGCAAACATCTTAGTTTACCCATATACTCACAGTAAAAAATGATATTGCATCATCCTGCACATTTCTCTGATGACTGGCTTTTAAGCACCAATTAAGTTCTTCCCTATTCTACCTGAGCAAAGAAATTAATTCATATCTAAAATAAATCTAAATAAAGCAAGTAAAATGCTCTTTGGTATTAATGGGCTGTGCAAATATTCAGAATCTTTTTTACACATAACTGTTATTTTTAGATGCCTTTTTTTACAAGGAAAGTTTTAAGAATGAAAAGAAGACATCCAACTGAGAACCTGCAAGCTACATTTCTATCTATTTGGTGGTAGTTATAGTTGTTCCCCCCTATCCTGACACTTTTCTAAATGACTGCTAACAAACATATGAAAAATTGAAGGCAAATACTATTTATAAAAAGTGCAAAGTTTCTGGTACAGTTTAGTTAATGAACTTTGCTCTAGGCCTCTGCTGGGTCAGGCACACTCCTACAGAGAAGGGACTGCAAATGTGTCAACCTCTGGATTAGGTCATCAGCCACCAAAAAGAGCCCAAGTGTGGGTGTATATATATATTTATCCATGTCATATGCTCATAGGCCACTGAGTAGTTCATCTATATTCTAGTATTAGTGTCAGTGGAAAAAGCACATCCTTGAGGAAGAATAATCTAAGTGCATACTTGAAATGTTTACTACTGGTAGAGCAGATATAATTTTTTAAGTAAGGTAACTCTTTTCCTTGTAGGATGTTACTTAGAGCTTGGCAGTGTTTCAGCCAATCACAAGGAAGTTAACCAGATGGATCTTCTCCTCAAGCTCATTTTTTTTTCTTGGTCCTCTAACAAAATTCTGCACAATCCCAGGCATATGAGTGAAATTAAACTTTTTACAAGAGTTCTTAGATGTGTGGCCCTTTTTCACAGTGTCTGAAATGCTGATTTGTGTCTGGGCAGAACAGGAGAGATCACACAAAGGGCAAAACATGGCAAAACTTAGAGAACTGTCACTCAGAATGATACTCATGACGTAAATGTCTTGGTGGTTCAGTTTTTCTTATCTGCAGAATGGGAATCACACTCCTTTTTCTCTTCAGTGGCTACTGCAAAGGCTGATTAATTATTTTATAAACTTCATACGCGGTTGTAATGAAGACCAAGAGAATAAAACAAGGAGTGAAGTTACAGTCCTCTGTTTGAGTCTGACTGAAGACAGTGGCACAAATAGAGGCCATCAGTGAGAACTGAAGTCCTACACACCGTTCACTCAATGGCAGAATCACAGCACTGCTTGGCTTTTTCCTTGCAAAGCCTGCATAGCAGTGTGGGCTGCTTTCAGGAAAGACACTTTATTTACCAGAACAGAAACACGAAGATTAAAAAAAAAAAAACCCAAACATTAAAAGAAGCATTTTCTTGCCAGCAATTTTTTCCCTCAAGGAAAAAAAAGAAAAAAAACCCAGCAACCTCTTGAAATGCCATTAATATGAGGCCTGACATGCTCTCTAGGATATGCCTACCTTTTGCCAGAAGCTACAAATGTATACTCTAAAGTAAACAATGGAAAGGTTACTGAAGGTTAAGCACATTCACACACTCCAGCCCAGCAACCAGCCGCCACGCTGGGAGGATAATTTACCCGGCACAAACCCAGTGCCCCACTCTGGCCGGCTGGGGGCATTGGCTAGAGCAGAGTCCCTCCCGGCGGGAGCGGGGTGCCCTGCCTGCCCCCCTCCTCCAACCTCTAACCCATCCATCTTCCGTGGGGATTCCCTGGCTGGCCTCACCACTCGCTGATGACATCACCTGTCTGCTAAGAATAGCACTTCAGTCAGTCAGCCAAGACGGATGGGTTTGGTTACAGAGGCGCCCATCAAAGGGCTGTGGAGTGCCGCGTCCCCCCGCTGTCCCCTCCCCAGGTCTTGTTTCTCTGCTGCCAAGGAAACGCTCCCTTGCTCTCCTCCCAGAACATGCACATGTTCTCCAGGTCTATTGTGACTCAGCCTCTGCTGACACCGGGGCCAGCAGCTGTGTCTTACTCAGGAGCATCGCCCCTCCCAGCTGTGCCTCAGAGCCCATCCTGCCCCTTCGGCACAGGGTAAATACCTCAGTCTGCATTTTTGAGAGTCACACAAACTGCACAATGCAGCCAGAAATTTACAGTGCGTTTGCTGCTGGTAGTAGTGATGGGAAATCCCAACCATGGTGCTACAAGAAAATGGACTAACACATGAACCCAGACTACTGCATCACAGTCCCTTAAGTTCAACTTGCACATCACATCTTTCCCTTGAGGGGGGCGGGACCTGCCTGCTCCAGTTGTCACACTATATTTCCTAGCATGCCCACTACAGTGCCCCAAGATTCACTTCTGAGGCAGCCACACAGCCACCCCTTTGGATGAGGGACATCTGCAAGAACAGACTTGCTCTGACCCTGTGCTTCTGCTTGTACATTCCTGAGCATCTACACTGAACAGGAACTTGATTCTCCCCTGTTCCAAGAAGGTTGGTACAGAGCAGTTGAAATATTTATTTTCAGAAATTTTATGAAGATCAGCTGGTTTTTAAACTCTTGTGACCCAGATCTTGTAGCGTCAGCTGTAGAATTGAACAAAATACAACAGCCCTTCTCTGAGACAAGTCTCCCTGCTTTTTTTTTTTTTTTAAATGCCCAAAGCACTAACAGTGCCACTAGCTCTCTGCACATGGATTTGGCTTCAAAGCTGCTCTGCCTATGCTGAGCTAGCTGCGCAACAGAAATGAATGGTTAAAGCAAGGACCCTCTGACGCTACTGTTTCTTGTTGTATTGGGCTCCTGTTTCCTCTGAATGCCAAAGAGTAACAGATTATCCGAAATACATCCACAACTCTACTTCTTTTGTGCAGCTAATGCTGGCATATACTGAAGAAAAAGGAGCAAGAAAAAAAGCTGAGTATTAGAGAGAACAGGCCTGTACTCTCTGCAGCGTCTATACCTCAGCGGGATTTCATGTACTGAAGCTGAAACACACTGGGAAAGCCTTTCTCTGTAGAGAAGTGCAGTCCATTCAGTGACACGAGTTCTTTTCTAGCCAACAAAACAAATCTTGAGATCTTTGCTTGCTTCCTCCTCTACTAGTTTCTATGTCCTGCTGTGTTTTTATTTTAGAAAAATAGTTTCAGTTCCCCTCATAGACGGCTTCCTTGAATGTTATGATAAATTTAAACTCGGACTTTGTCATTTTCATCTGTAGTGCCCCGATACAAAGGACTCAGTAAAATGGTACATCTGGTATTTCTGTTCCTTTGTTTCCTGCCTATGTATTTAAATAAGGATTCTTTAACTCAAACTTCAGCTGATTCACAGTGATTGTCCCTGAACAAACTGCTGAGAGCAGTGCTGGAGGGGGATGGGCAAGGGAGGATACCGCAAAGCACAACATCCTTTCATTTTCAGTACTGCTGCTGTTTTCTAAAACTGCTGTTTTAGAAAGAGATGAATTTCCTCCTCACCCTCCTTTGTGAGCCTGAACAGTTTCATGCCCCTTAACTGTCTTCTCAGAAATGACAGGTAAATACAACACCTTTTAATTTCTGCACTGGGAAATATTCTAGACATACATGCTCATTTCAGATCAATAAACATTTGGACTATAGGTTTCACTTCTTGTGCTGAGTGTATTTCTCCATCTTCTGAACTAACCTTATGAAGTCATCTACCTACCTTATGTATTAGGCAATCAGCATTGGGGTACCTGATAAGTCTAAATGCTAATGGGGGAGAGGAATTATTTAAGGATTTACACAAGGAAATGTAGCTAGGAAGATTTTAACTAAACACTTTCCCAAATCCTTATGCTGAAAAATACAGAAAAAGATCTAAGCATTATCACCTTTATCTTCTGTAAAGGACAAAGCACTATCATACAAAATGGCCAAACCTCTTTTACATGATGTTAAAGGTTTTTGAATTTTCTGGTATCCACAATAGGAAATCTCAAAGTAGTACAATACAGCCTGCAAACCCCTGGAGAGGTTGCTGGGTCCCTGACTCTCAACATCCCATTTTCTGCCAGTGAAGTGAAATACCAGAAGTTATTAAATACTTTTCTGTTATTGCCGTTCACAGGGAACTGCTGTAAACATTCCAGGAATTACGTTCTCTTGGCACTAACACAAGGTGATCTGTGTAACAGTACTTGTGAAGGTAAGTATTAGCAGAATTATTCTGTTGCTCAGAAAAGTCAAATAACCAGCAAATCAAAGGAAAATTTTCCTCTTCCATGGGCAGTCTAGATGTCAATGTAATAGAATAATACTTATTACACCTTTTCTTAAGTGCTTAAATTTGTCACTGCTAAAGATTTTCCCTTGAATATCAGTCATGACTATCAAATCTTTTGAGTCTTAAATTAAATTAATTTAGGAAGAAAACTGTGTGGTTCCAAACACCACACTGTACACGTAAAGATCAGCCAAAATTAATCATTTCCAGTTTTGATTTTTCAGAGAAGATGAAAACGGTAATGCTAACAACTTATCTGGCACACAGGATTAACAACAATAGAATAAAGAGCGTGTGTCCCTCCAGACTACAATGTCTGGCGGTGGGGATACACCATGCTCTCAGCTCTCTCCATCTGCCATACATTCAACATGAGCCACATCAGAGCAACCATCTGAGATCCACTCATTAGCCCAGCATCTGCCATCCTGCCTCCAACTGAAGCTGTACCGAACAACAGCCAGGCTGAAAATGCAGCTTCAGAGTCGTGGTAATCAGTGCGCAGGCAAGAGGATCTCATCTTTAGATAAATGGACAATCCTAGCGTTGGCTGCCTCATGTCACACAGCACAAGCACATCCTTGCAGAATTCTTTCATCTTGACTAAAACAACGTAACTCTTTGAATCTTAAGGGTATGTTGGCAGACACATCTTGAGCAGCAATTAGATATATAACTGTGGGTCACATATCTAATCTGACTCAATTCAGGAGCCAGATCAAGTTTAAAAACAATGTATTTATTCTCAAAGTTTGTCTAATATTAGCAAGACATGCTTCTAAAGATATAAACAGCAACCCAGTGAATATCTTCTGCGTTTAAAAAATGGTTGTGTAAGAGGCTGCATTTTTTTTCGCTTACCAGGAGATGGCGGCTGAATCTTAGGTTGTTTCTTAGTATCTCCAGTGCTGAAGACTTCTGGAGGGGGCTCCTCCCCTCGCTCGATCTTGCACTCGAAGGCAAACAGGTACTGAATGTACTGTTTTTTCAGGGAGCTGGCTGCACTGCTCGAAGTGCCAACGTTCAATGTTGTTGCAAGCTCGCGCCACTTCTTGTTTTTATTAACCTAGCACAATAAATGGCAGGATCATTGGTTTGCAGCAAAGTGGTTTGTTTAAAAGTCAGGAGACAAAAAAAAAAAAAAGTACTTAACGTCTTGGTTTACTTTTTTTATTTTTCTCTTCTAACTAATGCTCATTACGCCCACATGCAGTAATGCATAGACAGCATTTACAGTTATAAAACCATTAAGGAACCTGCTGATAGCTACATAAAAAGCTTTGTTCAAAGTCTTCTGCATGGTGCATCTTTTAAATGCCTTGCACTCTTCCAGGGCCTCTGCTCTTCAGTTAGCAATTTATCTCCAAGCAAATGCACACTCACTCTCACTCTGACACCCACCCACACCCACCCCATTCTAATTAAAAAGCAGCTTCTGAAAACTAATTTAAAAAGCAATAACAGCATTATTCTGCAATTTAAGTGTTTGAGCACTGATATGAAAAATATTTTTTTCTCCAGAATAGCCACCAGCTGTCAGACAGTTTAGCCTATAATTCCTGGTTTGAGTCCTTTCACTTCACAGCATCTTGCAGGGACAGATCAATGATCCTTTGGCTAGATGAGATGCAGAGTGGAGTGAGGCCCTTTAATTAATTATGGCAGACTTCAAACACACAGGGCTAGTCCAGCAACACCCTGTACTGCAGTGCTGACTGCACAACTCTGCTGTGAGTCTTGTTTGCAATGCGAGGCTGAGAATATCCAAAGATTCTCTTCCTGAGTTCCTCAAACACAGCTGATCTGTAGTAACAGCTTAGTTCATCTGTCATCCTGGATGATACCACTGGCTCATGCACCTATATCAGACAGAGTATTGTTTTTTCTGTACAATCTGATGTCCCAAAGTTCATTCAACCAGTTGTGCAATTGTTAGGTATGGTCCAAGGGAGCACTGACATAAATGGGCCTTGAGCATCTGGGCCTTTGTTGAGGAAGAATCCTGATTCTTGCATGCTATGATGCTTAGGACTTGTCCTGAGGCCTGACATTCTATGATTCCAACTTATCTTCACTAGCCTTTACAAAACTACAGCCTAACTACACTAGCCTTTACAAAGGTTATCATTAGCCATACTGTTCCTACGCCCATCTGCCAGCAAAAGAAATATTTCTTAAATTTCTCTGTGTTTAATAACATCAATACTGCTGCCAGACTTCTGAGGATAGCATTAGTAGCAGGCAGATTTGAATGGCTATACAAAGTGTTTTTATTTCTCTGGTAGATCTCACAAGAACTCAGGAGTTAAAGAAAATATTTTCCATAAATTGCCCCTGCTGAGGCTTGAAATCCAGCTACACAGCCCTTTGTGCCTACTGACGTACAGCTAAGTGGTACATAATGAACACATTGCATAATGCAAACAGAAATATTCATGCCTAAATGCCCACTATATTGGCATTTGAAAGAAGGCTGCCAACAGCTGGTCTGCTCATGTTGGGACCCCATCAAAAGCACGTATTTGGAGAGCATGTACTGCTGCTGCACAGCGACGTTCCCTGTCACTCTCTGGGCAGAATCAGGAGATGTGCAGTGTAGCAGCTGGAGTAACAACTTTTTAGGAGAGCGTCACTCAGATGCATTTAAATAAATCTCATCAAGCAAAGCACTTTGCCTCACAGTAGGCCCAAACAGATAAACATGGTGATCATTCATGTGGGCATACCAGCAAAACCAAGAGCCCTTACTTTCAGTGTCAATTCTTATCAGTTCTGTAGCACACAATTTTGTAACTCAAGATCCTTCAAAAATCAGTGTAAGTGAACAGCATCTACACTTTGGCAATACATAATATCTGTCATTGCAAATTAACATTGAGTGCCCCAAAATAAAATGAATTTCCATGTAATAAGCAAACACTAACAACTCTCTAGAACACCCCATTTGTCCCCCCTGCTTTATTTTTCATTCTAGGAGTCATGCTGTGGGCACAATCATGCTGTATGAGGCAGAGCAGCTGCATGATACAATTTACCTGTAATAAAGTTTCTCAGCTAAAAGTAATCAAATCTTTATGATGCTGGGGGGCATGAGCTGATCACTAAAAATGTCAGGATACCATCTCTTGCCCATATATAGCATTTAACAACAGGCAAGGTGAAGTGTATTAGGTTTCTCTGCCTTCCTCTAATAACAGGAATAGCTAACACTTCTGGACTTGGGTCAGTGATTTAATTCAGCAGTCAAGTCCTGTGTTGTGAAGCGTACTATTAATAACAGCAGTAATAATGGTATTAATTAATGTTGGAAGTTTCTTTCTTGAGCTAACCAGATAGATCATTAAAATGTGCTCATTTTCTAAGGAGCTAATGTGACTTGCTATATTTTTGAGATAATATTTTCTAATTATTGTAAAATGATATATATTTAAATATTAAATACTCCATAGACATCTATCTACACCTTTATCTTTAAACCCTAGCAAAGCACTGAATATGCACAAATACTCTTGAATTCACAGAAAATAAGGATCTCAGCTTTTCACAGTAGCTTCTAGCACCTGGCCAGACTGACCCTGTAGATGAAAAGGATGCTTTGTAAGCATTAGGAAAGGAGAACTAATGTCAAATACAAAATCTAAGTTTGCAAATACTGACAATTTACTAACTTTTGATATTGCTAGACAAAGGAACACGTAGTTTTGCTCTGTGGAGGTCAGTCATACAGAACCCTATGTATGTTATTTCCACGCATTCCTTTGCTGAAGTTCCAGCTGACTGTTGAGTACACAAATGAAAGCTTCTTCAGTCTGTGGCGTAACAAATATGCCCAGGAAGAATAAGGCCACAGATACTGTACATTCTCTATTCTAATATAGCACTTTTTTATTCTCAGCTCTGCCTACTTTCATTTCCCTTCTTCACAACTAAGAAATTCATCTTTTCTTTGTAATGATTATGTTTGCATTGCAAACCAAAATATCCTGTAAGTGTTTTCCAAAGACAGGAAAAGCACAGTCTGTGTCTAAGACACAAGTGCACTGTGTAGAGACAATCGGAAATGAAAGATTTGGGATGAAGGACTATGTTTTCAAGAATCAATCTACCACTTCTCTGGAGAAATGAACTGATTTGTCCCAGAGGCAGTACATCTATCTGGGAAGGATGGATTTCCAAATCTCTTTTCTTTCGGCTATTTCCTTTCAGCTCTATCATCTGCTTTTTACATGCGAATTTGATGCAATGGCCTTTTCCTCTCCCCTTTTCTTAGCAGCATTACTGGAATACCGTGAACATGCAACAATGAACTGTCTACAGCAATGATCAATTTTCTTTCAAACTGTAGACTTTTAGAGCAATCACATAGCCCAAGATGAACTCCAGACAATCATAAAAACATACATATGATCAAACTCTACTTAATTCTGTTTTCAGGGCTGTAAATGTGATTGTGTAACCAGCAGGAAGTATTCCAGAAAATGGTGTGCTGACTTCCCCAAAGATTTGCTGTGAGGCATCTCTCACCTGCGCTAAACCTCCAATCTCTTTGACACAGACATACAGCCTGAACAGGTCCAAGGGCTTCTTGCCCACAGCTGGCAGACTGGCCACAGGTGTGCCCCTCTCCTCCATGAACGTGAGATACCGGTCTACCCACATCTTGCGCTCTGGTTCATTGCCAAGTTCGTAGACTTTTGTGATCTTCTCTCCAGTTGTGGTGGAGGAACTTGATTTCTGAATGGCAAAAAGAAACAAGAGTTGGGGGAAGGGTGGGAAGGGGAGGGAAAAGAAAGTAAGAAACTCACAACATTGAAAAAGAGAAGATGTCAAACAAACTAAAGCTATCACACAACAGTCAGGAATGAAGGCTACTAGTTCAGGCACAAACAGTACATTCTGTCCATATACTGAAAATTCAGCTTTTTAATTAAAAGGGCCCAAACTCCCCATTCTCATGTTTCTTTCACCAATCTGAACTTTGGATCCCAGAAGGCAAGTTTCTGATGTTGCCTCATTTCATTTTAATAACAGATACCTCTCACATAGTGCTTCTCATCCACTTATCTCAAAGTGCTTTGCAAGCAGTAATTCTGGCAAAATTAAAAACAAGTTTGTCCCACACAGCTTATACTAAAAACAAACTAATCAACACTCTCCCTTTCCACCTTAAAAAGGGCTAGAAGACTTAAAAGTGTTTCAATGGAACAGGAATTGCATGAAGATAGCCTAATGCATGGATTACAAAAATCTAGTACCCTAGTGGGAGTGGTACCTAATTTAGAGAGTATTGCTTTACTGTCTGTTCGCGCCACTGTTGGCCAAGAGAAAGATGATTAAGAGTACCTACAGTACAAGGAGATTGGTGGCAATATTCTTTGAGAACTGTGAATCAGCTGCTTGAGCCAATAATGCTCAGGAGTAGGTAATACTCTCCTCTCTTAAAAAGACAACAGAAGATGGTCATTTCACGTGTCCTGCCTTGGGAAGAGAACGTGCATTGTGACCTGGGGAAAAATAGGATTCACAGCAATCAGAGCTGAAGCACCATCAGGAAAAGTGAAAGAAGTGGAAAGAGTAGAAGCACAGGCCCAAACTCTTTCTCTTGCTGCTACTCTGACTTGACAGCTAACAAAAGCTCATGCTATCTCAACAAACTTTTCTTTTTTTTCTAGGGACAGAGAAAGCACTGAGGCTGCTACACAAGCTGGAACACGTAACTTCTCACCATATCCTCTTCTTGCATCTGTCAGCTGGGCTCTGTGCCATGTGTGGATGGACCACACACCGTCTAAGGCCTCTGATCGGACAGCAGAGAGGAGCTGCTACCACTGATGGCAGACCCTCCCACTTGCACAGGGTGAAGTGATTTGCCCTGCACTGGAAGATGGAGTGTCTTAGAACTAAACACAAGAGAGAAAGACTGATATAAAGCTTTGGGAAAGGAGCCAAGTACATGAAGGGAAACATACTCTTTATACAGTAAAATCCTAAACTTGCTTGTTGACTGCAGTAGATGTGTCAAAATCATCTAGTCAATCACTCTTTTCCTCCTTTGCCTTTCCTTACTTTGAACAGGAGACAGTACTGCTCTAAAGAAAAGAACATCTTAATTCTAGTTGAACACTTCTAAACAAGACTCTAGAAGTGTCCCATGGGTGCTACAGCCACTTGTGCATGCCCCCACACTGTGATGGTGAGCCCTGGCACTTGACACAATGAAAGATGCACCATAATAGCATCCAACTGCCAATGATTTTAAAAGCATTGCCACCATTCATCTTGCACATTAGCCTGGAAAATATGACAGACTCTGTATCTCCCTCCAGCTGAAACTTGGCAATACTGGAGGAGAGCCAGAAGAAAAGAAACACGAAGCCAAGAGAGTGTGATCCAACAGTTCCATGAGCCATTGCTGTTCTTTCCAGTGAATGGATATTCGTTTTAATTAAATAAATAGCCACCCATAAGGTTTTCTGCTTTACTTCCTGCAACTCCCTTGCAGTAGTCCTTCCTACAGACAGATAATATTACCTTCTTCACTTAGAAACGAGATACTGCCTTGAATTCACTTCAGTCAGATTCACTTGTGTTAGAAATCCTAGTAAAGTCAAGGCTGAATTTGTTTTACTAATATTAAGTGCCTGGCAAGAAAGTATTCTGATATGTCCTGCAGATTTTGATTATGCAATGGAAGCAAACTGATTCTGCAATGGCAACCACTTTACTCAAAACATCACTTGTTATGTATTCAGGTGTTCAAGAGAATTAATTTTTTTCAACAAATATACTTTGTCAAAGATTTTTTTGGTGGTGGGTGCAGTGAGGGCTGTAGGCAAGTCATATTGCTACTAATACGATTTTGTAATGTAAGCAGATAGATGATTTCATAGACTCAAACAGCAGAGTAAATTGATGCTCCTCTACAACTCCTCTACAACTGCAGTAATAACAAGCTACATTACTGTTCATCAGCATTACCATTAATTTTAATTCGCACTTAGGAAGCTAAGGAACTCCAGTAAAAATGAGGGTAGGAAATTTCACCTTTTACCCAGTAAATATTGTATGCCCTTGTATTTTAACATGTAAGGCAACAAAGAAGTTTCTATTTCAAATTTATGGTAGTTCACCATTAAGAATGTTCAGATTTACCAGTTTTATGCTTTGGTTTTTATATGGTAAGATTCTCTTTTTCAAATCAGACTCAGCAGAATGGAAGCCAGTAAAGAATTTCATTCCGTATTCTTCTACTGTACATCTCAAATAATGCTGCTTTTCAGCAATGCGGCAGCAGGCTCTAAAATGACAGTATAATCTGAAAACTTTTCACAGCTTACAGAAGGTAAGAAGTGTTTCTTACTGTGTTAGCTTTCAGGTTGTCAGGCTTTGTAAAATGGGCACAATTTTCTTCTAAACTGAAATGTTAACTTTAGAAGAATGCACTGGTGGGAAAAACGCTATTCCTCAAGAGTAAAGATCTTTTTTTCTTCTCTATTTTTATAAATGTAAACATATAAAAATGACAGATGTGTGCAAACTAGTCTACACACAAACTTCAGATCCACAAGGGCGCATTCGGCTGGAAGCCTAAATCTGCCTATAGGTCACTGTTAACTCCCAGAAAATACAGGTTTATTACAAGATGACACCATTAACAGATCCTTAGCTGAAGTGAGTGCAAGCAAGGCAATGCTGAAAGAAAACAGATGATGAGCTTTTCTTTGATTTGTTGATAATTCTGGTAAAAAATATTGGTGCAATCCTGTTGCATATACCTTCGTTAACTTAGCTGTATCCTACTCTGCCCTCAATTCCCAGTCATTCTACAGATGTTACTATCCATCTTTAAATGGATGATAAAAAAACACAAAACAACAACAAAAAAACTCAACAAAGAATACAGATGCCAAAGCCAATTCCCCTATTAAATTTGCCTAACCCCATACTTTATTTTCAATATATCTATCCCCTATTGAAGTTGTGCAGCTTTAATACAGACTGTGGCATGGTGAAGCTACCTAACCCTTCAGAGCAACAAAAACTTCTTACTATGAAATTTTCACATTAAGGCAGTGGTAGTTGTTTCTGCACATTTCCCTATCTACCTGTATTTATAGAACTATCTACTGTTCACTTTTCCCACTTCAGTAAAGGATTTGCCAACACTACACTTACTACACAGTGCTCTTTCACTACAGAACAGTGTGCATATACAGGTAGTAAAACTGGCTGCAGGCCAATCTCAGACAGAGGCTGTCACAGGACACAGTCCTCTGCCAAGATATATCCTGGAGGACTTTGCAAAGCCCCTCAAAGCTAGCACCACAGAGACACAGTGCTACCCAGGTGTCTCTACTGTTATGTTCATGTGTAACTACAAACAGTGGACAGCATTTTATGGGATTTTCATAACCTACTGTTTTACTCATGTTGCAGTGACCATGCACAGTGCATACTCATTTTCAAATTCTCTTTTGAAGAATTTTAAAGACACTTAGCCACTGTGAGGGACACAGGCTACGTATAAAATTCACACAGCAAAAGCGAACTTTTATCTTAACACTTAAGAACCCTTACAACATAATGGTGAACGATTCCTTCTCTACATTTTCTCATGCCTCAATTCCATATAGAACTACTCAAAGAGAGGACTCACTTTGTAGGATCACAAGTACATCGTGAGACCATTCACCCTTGCTTTTACCCTCTGCTGAAATGGAGAAGTTGCAGCACAAGAAGCTGCTCTGGGATTTAATGAACAAATCTGGTCTGTTTCCAAGTGTAACAAAACGACTGCAATCAATCTTCCAGTCTATGTCAGGCTGCTGTTAAGGTCGATGAAGTTATCCAATACAGTGGCTTTCATAGGTAAAAAGAGATCGGCTAATTTAAAGCACTTATTTTTCTATCATTCTAAAGCACTGTATTTATCCCAACCTGTGCACCAAGAAGCTAAGTGGAGCTAAAGATGTAGCAGCATTTGAACAGAAGGGTATTCAGAAGAGAAGCTTTTTACACTGAAAGCACAAACTTTGTCCATTTGTTTTTTCCAACACTATACTTGCTGTATTTACATGGAAAATACTCCACGGTGGCTCTAGGATTTATTATGTAGTTCATACAATGAGCTCAGGAACGCGCTGTAGAAGAATTTGATGGGTTAGATAACCTATGCAGTAGCCTTGCTTTCCTCCCAGACAAGCAACAGTCAAAACATTACTACAAACAAAACCAACCCCATTTTTTTTGTGTCCCACCCCCTTATAAATGTTGCTAAGAACAAAATGAGATTTTGTGGGAACAAGTAACACCAGCTGCCTTCTGAGACTCAAAGTTGCTGCCAAATAAACATCAAAACATCCAGGTGGTGTGCTTCATGCCATGCTGCTTCTCTGCTCAGGGCATTCGTTAATGTCTGGCTTTCTGAAGGGAAGACCTTTTTTCCTCCAATTGGCCTTCCTCTAATTTCCAAGACACAGTCATCAACATAAAACTTTGTGAAAATTAAATTGGTACCAAGGAATTGTTGGTATTTTAAGTGCATGTTAGCATAGGAAGAAGAAACTTGATATTCCTCACAAAAATCTGTTGCAATATTTTTCTCAAGTGAGAAAATATAATCATTATTTTTAGTAGAAAGAATAGGAACTACATACATTTTCATGATAAAAAAAAAAAAAAAGCAAAAATAGCTAAGTGGACACTTGCTCCCCAGAAGCCACATATTCTGCATTCTCTTTTTTTCTGTATGTATATACACGTACACAGATTTTTCTGTGTGCATATATAAATATATGCCATTTATATTTTAGCTCCATGCATCTCTCTCAGGTTTTTCCTGGACGAGAATGACTAAACACGATTCACCTAAAAATAGTTTTCTAAAAACTTACACATATCATTTTTTTTTCTACCCACAATCTGGGTTATTTCAAAACAACTGAATGAAGCAAATCAGAAACAATTTTGTTTTAGATTGTGCCCTGAGAACTCAATAATCATATTTCCAAATACACAATTCAAAATTAAAAATGCTTCAAAAACGCACATGGCAGCTTTTTTTGTGGCGCTAAGGCTACAATTCAAATGTTGCTGGATCTCAGTTTTTGTTGTGTGGGATTTATTTTTTAATTTTTTTATTTTTCCTAAATAACACTAGCAAAGACAAATGCAGCAACCAGAGTGAAATCAGTTGTGTGAAGGAGTTTGGGCCCAGGAACAGAAATGGAATTGTCCTTAACAACACAGTCGGCATGCTTGGAAGCTGATGCATTACAGGATGTTTTCTTCACAACAACTGCTGTATTACCAGACAGCACATTTGCATGATGCACACGATTTTACTCTTTCTTATTTTAAAGTACTGTTGGGACAAATTTTGCCCTTGGAAAAGCATGCTCAGGCCCCACTGAAGCCAGGCAGTGGAACTTACAGCCATGTGTCCAGGAGCAGAATTTGTACCCAGTGTTACAAAGAAAGATAACTGTTTAGTGGATAAATAATGAAGAAAAGGAATTTATAAAACAAACAAGCAAGCATTAAAATAGAATTAATTACAAAAAAAATAAACAAAAACCAAAAAAATCAGAGCCACTTACAGGGCTTGATGGAGTCTTTGGCCAGCCTGGGCTGCTAATGCTATCACTTTCATCTCCATGAAATGAGGAGATGCTAGCAGAGCTTGGGGACATTGGGGAAGGGACTGGCAGGTTGCCTGGGGTTGGGGGCTGAGAAATACCCTGAGAGCTGTAGCTATCCTGTGGTAGAGGAATAAAAAAAAAATAATATGACAAAGGCAGGGAAAACTTTATTAAAAACAAAAAAAATACATCCAGTTTAACAGAGTGACCAATTTTTTATATATAAAATATATATAAACAGAGAGACACATACAGAAAACACACACATATATAAATATATTTATATATATATAAAGTATTAAAACAACATTGTTAATTAGTATAATTTGGAAAGTTTGCTGGATGCTTGGCTAAAGTCACTAAGCCACCATGCTTATTTCAAGCTCACATGGAATGCTAAGCATGGGTTTCCCCTTATGAAAGAAAGAAAAACAACAAGCTGTTCACCTTATTTTGTCAAATAAGGCAAGAAAGCAAAATATTAAAGTATGTTGCTGCTGCTGAGCCGGCCAAAACAGGAAGCCATAACTGAAGGCAGAGAAAAATGGCTGCAAGTATTGAAATCAGGCAAGACCCTTCTTCCCCACCCACCTGGCACAGCCGAATCCCCACGCAACTTTTGGCTTGGGTAGCTTTGCCCCCGCAAGTTAAAATGCCGTAAGAACTAGTAACTTTCAGATCCACACAATGAAGGAAAAAAGGAAAAAAAAAAAAAGATAAAAAAAAGAAACAAACAAAGAAATTGCACGTGAATGGAAACGCATGCAGGAAAGAACAGAAGTGGGTAGGCCAAAACCAGAAGATGGACGACAACACAGCAGACTCCTGCGGGCTAAACCAACACCACGTGCGGAGTGGTAAATACCTTTGACTTGCTCTCAGGTTGAGGGGCTCCTTCTTCTTTGCCATCTGCTTTGAGAGGAAGGGGTAGTTTGGACTCACCAGGTGTCATCATATCTGCAAGACCCATAGGTGCTAATCGAAAACAGGAGAAACAGTTAAGCATGACTGTGTTCGGTTTGCTAGGAAAAAAACGCTTCCTGCTGCCAGACTGTGGTGACACGTGGAGCAGAGGTTATCCCACCTCTGTCCTTTCATTTTGGCATCCGGAAACCTGCACACTTCTTCAGTTGAAGTGAGGAAACAAAAGAAATGAACAAGGGAAGAATGCAAGCGCCACACAACAACAATATAAAACACTTTATGCAGAAAATAATTTTTCACACCACTGGTGGTCTACAGCTGTCCATGGATCTGACCACTACGTTTTACCAGGGCAAGAATCTACTCTACCAACTACTCCACTTTTCCTTTAGTAATAGACTAACAGAGATGAAAACAGTGCAGACTTTGCTTGCAATTCTGAATCTGAGGAAAAGGCTGCATTTCTTCTGTATTAAAACTGGTGTCCAGGAGATAATCATCGTCCCTGTCTTCAGGGCACATTGCTCAGCCTTGTGAGCCTGAACTACAGAATTACGAGCTGCAAACTCTGCTCTGTTGGAGAAGTGGCAGTCAACTTTTCCTCTTGTGCCAAAATGAGGTAGGACTGTAACAAACACTCAAATGTCTTGCTCTGATAGTGGAAAGCAGTTAACTTCTCAGAGCTGTGAGGGGTTTAAGGGTTTTTATTTATTTATTTTTTCTTAATTTCAAGTGCTAAGTATAGTGCTATCGCTGCTGGCTTCCTGGATTTCTAGAAAGATACAAGAAACATTCAGATAAATACACAGAAAATACTGGGCAGTGCAAGAAAAACATGTGCTCAGCATTTGTGGAAGACTGGATTATCTCCCCTCCCTCTCTCTCTTTTTTTACTCCCTCCATGCCCTGTTTTCAAAGAAGAATCTGAAATAAATAAAAACATAAGCTAGAATAACCTATATGGCAGTGGAAAGGGAAAAAATACATATCCCAAACTCACAAATTCTAAGAATCAGCAAAGAAGCATTTCTAAAAAAAAAAAAAAAGGAAAAAAGAATGTGATCATTACCAGACTAGTGTGCCTCTGCAAAATGACAATGCTGGCTCACACAAGGCAGGAGGCATGCTGCATAGCAAGCCAAAGAGAGGAGGGGGAAAAGAAGCTTAAAAATGCTTCACAGATTGCCCACTACAAAATGATTATTGCACATATTCATGTATTACTATGTTTTAGAAAATAATTAGTTTTAATTACAGCAGTGAGAGCATGAGCAGGACTCTGGTGAATACGCTGGCAAGCTTTGCAGTGCTAATTTGCTAATATCTTTAGCATCACTGCAGGTTGAGACTATGGGTCTGCCAAAAAAACCTACCCAGCCATGTGCCATGTGAGTTTACAACTGTATGCTCAATATTCAGCTTTGAACGACCAGTGTTTTTCACGGGCACATTTTCTTGGTTTTTTTTTTTTTTTTCACAGTACATTTGTAGCCCAATCAAACCCTTAAAGTCTTCACTACACATAAGTCATAATTGATATTTTAAAAAAATTTACTTGCAATACTTAAGAGTTCAGGAATTGGAACAAAGAGCTTTTTTCAAGTGATGCAGCTGCAGAGAAAATCTATTGGGATCAGCTAAAAATGCTGTTATTTTTATGTATGTGTGTGAAACCTCAACAAAACAGCCAAGCAATATTATACTGGGAAGCCAGCATCCAGTAAGCGTGTGATTTGTATGCATTTTGCCCTTATAGTGCTTGAAGAACTGGGGTATTATGAAGTGAAGGATGTCAGCTTAACACATTTTAGTTTTTAGATCTAGAGTTTAAAAAAAAAGTTACATTTCTTTTAGATATGTTTTTTTTAAATACAAAATGGACAAATATATGCCACAGTCTGGTTTCAAACTGGGATGCAAAACTGTTACACAAAATCCTTTTTAACACATTTCATGCTGTGAAAGCACTGAAGAAGACATCTCAGTTTTAGTTAAAAGCAAACCAAAAATGACCCTTCCCCTCTAAAGCAATTTTAGAAAGGTCAAACAAAGTAACGTTAAAAATCATGTTTCTTCACTGGAATTCAGCATGGCCAAATCCTCTGCTGGTCTCTCCCTGTTACGACGCTGACACATTGCTTTTCTGTTACAAAGAACAAAATACTTCTGCCTATTCCTGGCAGCCCTATTTCCACCAGAGCTCCTTTACAAAATCTCTTTTTCAATGAGGTTTCAACTAAGATCTCATGTAAAGGGCAAGAACTCTAGGCTGCAACAAAAAACAGCCTGACTGTATGAATTATATTCGGGAATATAAAAACAACTCATTTTGTGTACTGCAGATTTCTTGTTTTGTGGCATATGCATATATAATTTGGTCTCCAACCAGAAGTTGAAGAAAATTACAAACAAAAGACAAATGAAGCTTTCCAAATTCTTTTTCACTTTTTGTTCTAAACTATTTGCTTCACATGTGTAATTTGCTTCTATCCTAACGAGGAGAACTGCAGGGGTTTGACTACCAAACGTTAAGGTCTCTCTATAGCTTTTATCTAACACATTTCCACAGCTACTTTCCATCCACTGCTGAAATGCTGTTTCATAACTTCTTGCAAATGTACTCTCCAGTGATTTGCAAACAGACACTCCTTCACTTTTCAGCAGAGCAGTACAGCCAGAACACTGTTTTGACCCTTTCTGAGCAGCGAAATACTGTTATTGTCACGAAACTGCTAAATTAAGACATGCTCTCTTTCTACACAGGCACTGATAATTCTGCGTGTGAAGTGCAGACCGAAAGAGAAAACATTTTAGAGGAGAGGGTAACAGAAAAACCTTGACTCAGAAAGTGCTGTAGTGCACTGTGAATAGGTTTCAAGTACTAGCCTCTGGCTTATTATAAGAATTTAAGAGCTAGAATGGTTTCAAAAAGCAAGTATGGGTCAAGGTCCTGAATTAACTATTCCACACTGAATTTAATGTACTCAAAGGCATATATTGACATGAGTGAAACTGCAGCAAAGTATTCTTTTTTGCTAAAGGCTGTGCTATCAGTCTCAGAAGATGATGAAATACTGTAAGAGCAGCAATACACAAACATTGTTTTTCTCTTTATTGCTAGCGCAATAACAAATTACACTCTACAAAACAGAATATTACATCCTTTGTAAGACATTTCTCCCTCCCTCCTGCCCCTAGCACTCTCCCTCCAAAAAGAAAAAAAAAAAAAAAAAGAACAAGAAAAAAGAAAAGCAGAAAATGTATGACTCGTGAAGCTGGCAAAAGAATCCCCACTGCTTTAACACCCACAAAAAAAAACAGAACAGGGACAACAGCATTGCCTCATATCCTCCCATGAATGGCCATTCCCTGTGGGTCAAAGCACAGCCTGGGACACTTGGCCTGTGTTTCTGAGACAGGCACTTGGGCAGCCAGGATGTCAGCACTGTGCTTTCCACGTGCCTATCCAACCTCCTGACTGAGGGGTGACCCAGGCACGTGGCTGGGGATGTAGGCAGATGAACTCCAAGAGCTAACTGATTTGTCACATTGTGAACCACAAGGTTATGGTCATCCCATTTAGAGTCTAGGGGATGCGTTACTTCAGGTGTTACAACTGCTGGTGCCCTCTGAAAGTTTTATTTAAATGGACTTCAAATAATTGCTCATATGAAGGCATATATTAGGGCAAAAAAGAAAGAAAAAGGAAAATAAATGGAGGTCTTCATTAGTCTGAAAAATGAAAACCAACCAAGCTACAAAACAGAGAAAAACAATTTACACTTCTAAAAAATGCTTCGCATTTATAAACATAATTGCTTTCCTTCTCAGAGGTCCAGCCAAATAAATACAAAGTCAAAAACATATTATATATGAAAATGTGTTTTATCTACTTTTAAGAGCATCCTTTTAATTTCTTCAGTGCAAATAACTTTTCCTAGAACTTC